CGGGGTTTTTAAGGGAGGGGAAACGAAGATGGGTTTTTTTTTAGGGGGGTGGCGACCCGTGGAACGGCCTCGTAAGGCGAGAGGTAGTGGGTGGCCATCTTGGGAAGGTGAGAGGCGGGCTTCCTGTGGCGACGGCCATCTTGGGAGTGTCAGTAGCGGGCTGCGTATGTCTGGTGGCGGCCATCTTTGAGCCAATGGCGGACTGCGTATACCTGTGGCGGCGGCCATATTGGGAGGCTTAGTGGCGGGCTATATCTTCCTGTGGCGGAGGCCGCCATATTGGGAGGGTCGGCTGGCGGAAGCGTCGCCATGTTGGGGAGGGCTTGGGCGGAAATCGCCGGTCCTTCCCGGGCAGCCATATACGGAAGGTCCGCTCTGGCCTTAAGGTTGGGAGGAAGAAGAGGGGAGGGGAAAAGAGGCGCGAAGGATGACGAGCCATCATCCTGAGCCACCCTGGAACTAAAACCGCATTAGTTCTTAGGGGAGGGAGATTCGGTACTGCTCCCCTGCAGACGGGTCTTCCGCAATATAGGTAGACCTCGACTTACAACAGTTCGTTTAGTGACCGGAGTGAACGGCGCTGAAAGAAGTGACTTTAGACCGTTTTTCCACCCTTAACGACCGTTGCAGCATCCCTGCGGTCACGTGATCAAAATCCAGATGCTTGACAGCCGACTCACATTTATGACGGTCACTGACTCGTCTTTATGACCTTCCGATAAGCAAAAGTTGATGGGAAAACGATATTCGCTTAACCATGTGACTAATTTAACAACTGCAGTGATTCACTCAACAAATGTGGGCAAGAAAGGTTGTAAAATGGGGCAAGATTCACTTAGCAATGGAAATTCTGGGCTCAGTTGCGGTTGTAAGTCGAGGACTGCCCTCAGGTGAAAGCTGTTGGGTTCACACAAAGCCGACCCAGGTTAAAGTGCTGTGTGAATGCAGCCCTCCCAACCCACCTGGAGTTGAGTCAGTACCCAGAATCCGCCCAAAGCTTCCTCCGTTGCTGGGTTTTTATGTAGAGAACCGTTTGATGTCTTAATAAATACCTGTTGATGCGTTTATTCTCACCGTGTTCTTTTGTCGCTGTTTAATTGGTTATTGTATTATTTTACTTCCGTTTACATATTTTTCATCTTTCATTTTTGTCGTGGTAAATCCATCTAGAGCAGGGGTCCCCAAACTTGGCCACTTTTAAGATTTCTGGACTTCAATTCCCAGAATTCTCCAGCCAGCTAGGCTGGGAGTTGAAATCCACAAGTCTTAAACGTGGCCAAGTTTGGAGAGCTCTGATCTAGAGTAACCCCAGAGGCAGCAAATATATTTAATAAACACAGTCAGTAAATAAGCCTACCCAAAGTTCTTCACTATCTTCTGCAGACTCTCAACTCCTTAAAACATCTTAATGGTCTTTGCAGTGACCTGGTTTGAGTCATGAGAAAGATGCTTTTATTTTTCCACCATGGCTTTTCATTTCACCAAAACCGGCCACATTTTGTGCTAAACATTTCAGTAAATCTGACCGGATATTTTCACCTTGAAAAATGATCTTCCCTGGTCCCACCATCCCCAGCCAAAATCCCAACTGGAATTTGTGAAAACAGAACTTTGAGGCTGTGGGAATCACTTAAGCAAGTCACAGCTTGCCTTACAGAAACGTTGAGGCAGGCATTATGGCCAGCAAACATCAGCAATTCTGATTTCTGGAGGTGCCTAAACAGCAGATTAAGCAGCCCAACCAAAATACCTGTCTGTTGGCGGTAGCCCAGTCAAGCTAATGGCTGGGGGGACCATTATTAGTGGTTTCCTCAAAGTACAGGTAGTCCTTGACTTACAACAGTTCATTTAGAGGCTGGAAAAAAATGACTTGTGACTGTTTTTCACGCTTAATGACCATTGTAGCATCCCCTTGGTTGCGTGATCAAAATCCAGATGCTTGTCAACTGGCTCACGTTTATGACGGCCCCAGGGTCATGTGGTCCCCTTTTGCAACCTTCTGACAAGCAAAAGCAATGGGGGAAGCCAGATTCACTTAACAACTGTGTTACTAATTTAACAATTGCAGTGATTCATTTAACAACTGTGTTGAGGTAAAATGGCAAAACTCGCTTCACCGTCTTGCTTGGCAACAATTGTTGTAAGTCGAGGACTACTGAATAAATACAAATTCTTGTTTACCAAAACAAGTCAATATTTTTATAGGTAAGGATCACCTTCTAACATGCTGTGCTTACAAATACATCTGGTGTAAGGTTCCTTTTTTCTTTAAAAAATAAAGCCAATCGGGTCGTCAGAAGTACAGTTCCTAATTGTTGGGTTTCTGTCTTGAAGCATCAAATGATCTAATAAAATGTTAATAGTGCACTTCCACTTTCTGTTATGTGTGTGTGTCTCTTGTGTATTAATCAGAGCCCAGGTTTATGGTTACTAGGATAGGCTAGTGCAGAGATCTCCAAACTTGGCAACTTTAAGAGTTGTGGACTTCAACTCCCAGAATTCTCCAGCCAATTATGCTTTGCTGGCTGGAGAATTTTGGGAGTTGAAGTCGACAAGTCTTCAAGTTGCCAAGTTTGAGGACCCCTGTGCTAGTTACAGGACAGCCCTTGACCAGAAATAACTTCTGGTGCCCGTCCACCCCTGTCTCCATTAGCTGGACACATAAGACGCTGCCGTAGTCTGCCCCAAAAGCCTTGAAAAGCATTCAAACTCCTGTATTAACGAATCAACACTGGCTGAAGTTTTATTACCTCCAAACATTTTTTACATGTAAAAAAAATACAATTAGGAAATTAAATTAACAATGAATAATACCTTAAATATTTTGCTATCAACTTCTGTATTTTATACTTCTTAAAAGTTAGCCTGTTCCCAGTTCAGGAATAGCACCACACCCTTATAGGAGAAATCTCAAAGCAAAAACACTTCGCACCGGGGCCAATGCAGAATAAATAAACCACCTGCAACTGGTGGCCCTTAACAATAAAAAACAATTTTTTATGTGTGTCTTAGAGAAACCCTGCAAAAGTCTGGTTCTGGGGTTTAAAGCAGGCAAAAGGGCAACAACCACGTCGGCACCGGAAGCCTCTTGATCCAAAATAGCGAGTTTGGGGTTGTGGTTACCTTGATAACATCTGCAAAGAAGGCCCTGCCAAATAAAAGTTTCTTCAGAGCGTGGGAAAACCTGTCTATTTTCCATTTTAGCTGCTGAATAAAGAAAGCAACAGGGCTGCCAGAGTATCCAGGAATGGTGTCAATCAACTCGTTTAAGTTCAGTCTCCCTGGGTTAGTTTTCAGAGACGCCCAACACTTCAGGACAGTGCAAGTCAGATACTTGACTGGCCCTTAAAAGGCCACCTGTTTCCTGACCTTGTTAGACCACTGGAATAATCTTGTCTATCTCCAAGCCACCTTCTTTTGTCCCAATCTGCTAGCTTCCACTTTCTTCTCCAGGGTCTTTCGTGGGGCATCTTCTTAAACTCCCCCCCGCCCCCCCACCCAAACTCCAGCCTCACTTGCTCCGAAATGCTTGCAAAAAATGGTACTGATCAAACAGACAAGAAATTCTATAGTTTTTTCATATTAACGTTTGGGGATTCTGTGCAGTAATAGCTTATCTTTTTACTGGAAGCAATTATGATACAGAATCCCCGAACATGAATACGAAAATGAGAAAAAAAATTCTTTTTAAAAACTTTGGGATAACCCACAACACAAAACAAAATACGCCGTTCGGCTTTTGAACGAAGACAGAACAATCAGAAATAAGCGCGGATGGGGGCGCCATAGTGATAACACGGACACAAACCAGCAGATATTGGCTTCAACCATATCTCACTGCATTGTGTGTAGAAGGAACGCAATACAAGTAATATGACACAGGTCAAAAGCAGATCCGGGGAAGTAGTTACACAGGCCTCTCAACGCCACATTTTTCTCGCTAGGAAAGCACAAATCGAACTGCAAAATTAGCAGGCGATGCACCAGCCCAAAATGGAGGACTGTGAGCAAGGCAGGGGCCTTAAAGCGTGTGAAGTTGGGCGCTGCAACCATCGCCCTTGGATGCCTCAGCAGTTGCGCTGACATTGTGACACCCCGCACCCTTTTGTGGTTCCCCAGGGAGCCTGTCTCTGAACCGGCCAAGGCTCACCTGGTCTTGTCAACCCATCTGCTCACCAACCGGTTGGGAGAACGAGGCTCTTACGCATCAGCTGGACTTTGCAAGAGTGGGAAAACATCTGGACTGGACAATCCCCCCACATGACACCCACTGATGGAGTTGCGCACACAACATTATTTCTTTCTTCTGTCCCAGTAATAAATGGAGGCCAAGCCTTTCACGTGGCCACTGAGCAACAGCCTAAGATGGGAGGGGGATGTGACTTCTACTTAAGCCAAGATCTAGCCAGGACCGGTGCCAAAGGACAGAGATCCCTGCTGCAGAACCCTCTTGACAATTTTGCAGAGGGTTCAGGAACCTTCTCTGCAACGGACCACACCTCTTCTGGCTACCTGAGAAGAGAGGGGGGCTAGGGACTCCTCAGCAGCCAGGATGCTCGATGGAAGCTTGCTGACAAGCCTCCACGTGGAATCGTGGCTTACGGAGGAACCCCGGTTGAAAAGAACGGTATCCCAGCAGCCCTGCAGCTCCCACGGGCGACCAGTGGGAAACCCCACCCGGCCCGGGATGCGTGCCCTGAGTCACAACCGCCAAGCGATGACAACGTGGAAGGAAGACGTCTCCAAGCCTCTGCAGGAAGGCGTCGCGCGATGTCTTGTGCACCGGTGCTTGGCGCAGAGACGGCCCCTCGCACACAGGATTCAGACCCGGTGGCAGTGGGGGCCGTGGGGAAGGTTTTCCGCGGGAAACACCACGCCGGGTGCCACGGCGGTAGCTCAAAGCGAGGTTTACTTTGTCAGGACCGCAAGCGCCACGGCAAACCCGAGACAATCCGCTTAAGGTCCTCCTGCCCCTGACGGGACCTCCGCCGCGTGACCCCCGGTGGGGGTCTTCCATCTTGCCCCCGCGGGGCTGCTACTTCTTCTTCTTGCCTTTCTTCTTCAGAGAGCCCGGCCACGGGAAGCCACGGAACTCCAGGCAGGCGGCGGCATTGTGGGCGATGTAGTAGAGGTTCAGCATGGCCGCTGGGCTCAGAATATCCACCTCCATGACGGCCTTCTTGGATTTCTTGCCACCCTTGCCTTTGCCTTTCCCTGAGCCCTTCCCTTTGCTCTTGCCTCCCTGTGGGGCACAAAAACACACAACCACACAAAAAACCCCATTTTGTAGGGCAGGAAGAAGGGGCCTGATAATTGAGAGCCAGTTTTCTGCAGGGGTCAAGGAGCTGGCTTAGAAACTAGGAGACAAGGAGTTCTAGTCCCGCCTCAGGCAGGAAAGCTGACTGGGTGACTTTGGGGCAATCACCAGGAGACAAGGAGTTCTAGTTCTGCCTCAGGCAGGAAAGCTGACTGGGTAACTTTGGGCCAATCACCAGGAGACAGGGAGTTCTAGTTCCGCCTCAGGCAGGAAAGCTGACTGGGTAACTTTGGGCCAGTCACCAGGAGACAGTGAGTTCTAGTTCCGCCTCAGGCAGGAAAGCTGACTGGGTAACTTTGG